TAAACATTACAGATTGCATAATTCAAAGTTGGCCGAGTGGAGATCTGCGTCTGGTCTCCGACAAAAAAAAAATTAAAAAAAATAAACCAAGGGTAGAAAATGAACCGCGCTCGGCCCATGGCCGCACGGTTAAAAACAGTGTGTCCCCCCAAAAAACTGGAATGTCCCCTAGAAAATTGTTGACTGGGACAGAACGTTCCCCTAAAGTGAAATCCTAGATCAGAGACTGACAAGCATGATGAAATTTGAAAGATGGACAATTTTCAGACCATCAGTGTTTGACAGCCAGTTGGAAAGTTGGAAAAATTTAAAGAATTAAAGAAGCTTGGCATCCAGCCAATTATCAGCAAGTGTTCTTTATAATCATTTAGAAATTTTAATTTGCCAGTTTACATCAGTGCTCAAAATTGGCTGCCTTGTTCATTTTGTCATGTTAGAACTTTCTTCTTCAGTTCTGGCATCCGTTTTGGTCCACGAGTACATGACTTGTATTTTTTGTTTACTAATTGAGAAGGTCATGGGAGGAGGTCCTGCAGAGAAGCTACATATATTTGGGTACTTTTTATGCCTCCTTGTCCCTATCCCCACCACCTTTCCCTGGTTTTACGCTCTTGAAAAAACTTCTGAGGGCATGGTGTAAGCACTGGGCTTACACATGTAATTGTCATCCAAATCAATGGAGTTTCAGGATGTTGATTCATTCAACATCTGAGCTATTTCTGGGGGACATATCATTTTTCTTGAGGGTGGGGGAGGCATGGGGGGAACTACAATATCATGAAGACAACTGTTGCTCTTGTACAGGTACAGGTACATTTTAGTTTGCACATTTTAGTAGCCAAATTAATTACCTGTGTTGTTTTTATTAGAGTATTGGAAAAAGATGTTGGAGACACTCCTCGGGTTGGCCAAGATCAACAGGAAAAACAACAACAACAACAACAACCACAACCACAACCACAACCTGCGACTGTTATTGTTATTGATGATGATGAGGCTGAGTTTGTTAATGTTGCCGATATGTCTTGTCAAGCTACATTTGAGGATATTGAAAGTGAAACTCGTGATAGAGAAAAAGAGAAGACATTGAACAGAAATCAAAATAGTTCATCAACACCAAAACAGCAAACAGAACAAAGCGACATTTTGAAAAGTTATGTTCCCATCAGACCTGCCCCTGTCAAGGAATCAATAAATAACTCTGTTGTATTACAGACTCCAACATCATCTGTACTTCAGCAAACAATAAGTAAACAATCAGAAGTTGTGGTGTCCCCTGTGACCAGTGCGGGGAAGACGCCTCCTGTGATCTATAGAACATTGAAATCACCGGTCGAAAGTGGGCTGCCTTTATTACCACAGCGGGTGGCACTGAACTCATCGCCACCTTCTCTTCCTGTTCAACAAGAAATATCAAGTCTCAAGTCTTCATCAGCAGCGGCTTCTTCTCTTGTGTCTCCTGGTGACAACAAGTATGTTTTTTTATTTCTGTTCATCAGTCAGAATAATGTAACCTTGGTCTTAATTAGTGATGCGGCATGTGCTTGTCTTAACCCAAGCACATGTGTGTGCTGTGACGAGCATTGACCTTTGTTCCACATCTGACGCCATTACCTTTGACTAAAATTGGCATCAGTAATATAATAATAGTAATAAGTTCTGCGGGAGGAAAAGATCTTTTCAATAATACCCAAATCGCAGTGATTACATGTAGGTCAATTAAGCTTGGATTGTGTACAAAAATGCTCAGAAATTGGAGTGAAAAACTTGGAACAAAATTTCTCTCAACTACATGTACACTTGGCTACACCGTGGTAAGAATTTTCCGTCTCGATGATGCTTTCTCTGAAATTCTTGAACTGGAAGCAAGCCCAGAAGAGGGTCAAGAACTGCAGAAAAATGTGATGTTGATAGTGCTTACCACTTGTATCATGTATGATTCCTTTACAGGTCAAGTACAACACCTTCTGTTACTCAACCATCACCCGTGCAGACACCCACTACACAGGCAGGGCCATCTTCCGCTGACAGAAAAGATACAATTGAAAAAGAAAAGAGGTTTGTTGCCATATTCAGTGCCACCTTAAATCATTCAATATCATTTTCAAGACTGACTAGAAAACCAGTCAATTGATCAGGATGAAAGATAATAGTCTGAAATTGCTACTGTCAAACTTATGAAACCATGAACACCTACAGTAAGTCAGGAATGTTTATTGTGTCATAACCAATCATGCACAAACAAGATCTTTATGCCACAGAACCCATGTGTATTTACTGGACGATCAAGGAATAAAAAGGTTTCAAAACTTCTCATCAACGTGTTTTCAATTCTTTAAATCAGTCCTCCTGCAGGTCCACCTAAGTTTGAGGTGGGTACTCGTGTCATTGGTCAAAGGGCAGATGAGCTGTGGTATCCAGGTAAGCTGCAAGATATTTAGTGCAGTCTTGAGGCAGTTAAGTTCATCACATTTCCAAACAGTGAGAAGAGAGATGAAGAGACTGATAAAATTGAAATTGTTTTGAACTGTATGTGTGTTTAATAGAGACCAGTGGCCCGTTTCTTGAAAGCCCTGCAAACTTTTCGGGCCCATAAAGCCATTTTTAGTCCATCTTTATCTAAAAACAGAGAAGTGTATATGCCTGAAACTTCGTCTTCAGTGAAGGGAACTTCTCTTCATATTAAGAATATGTGAATAAAACAGCTCTGTAGTCGTAAGGTTCAAGATTTTGCTATGGCTCTAGAGACCCGAAAAGTTTCTGGGGCTTTCGAGAAACCAGTACCTTGTCAGTCACAAGTAACCCTTTTAAAAGGAGAAAATGGAAAAATGAAATATTATGAAAATCTATATGTGAACAATAGCCTCCATTTGGTGCAAAAATATGCTAGGAGTTCTGAGAACCGAACAGTTTTCCGAGAGCATAGCTTGAGGAAAACTGTGAGCTTCAAGGAACAGATAATGTCCAAGGACAAATATCCGAGCATATTTGCGCGCCAAATGGAGGCTATTGTGTTTATTATCCTTCAGATCTTTTTCGCAACACACACAGTTTTGAAAATTGGGGAATATTCTCGGATATTCCCCTGTTTCAGCTGGGGAATATTCGGTCACGTGACGTGTTTAGACCAATCGCGCGAGAGCGAAAATATTTGATGGATTATAAGCAATGTTAGACATCTGAAACACCACAAATACACTGTATATATCAAAATTAATGATTGATTCTATTACCTGTACTCTGAGTCAGAGAAGTTGAAATCTTGCATTAAAGAAGGCTACATAATTTTATAAATAACTGACCTACCACATGCGCTCTCAGTGGTTGATTGGGGTGTTCAGATGAGAAACATGGTTGTGACTTTTTAGATTCGCGCATATTTTTGAGAATTATATTATAGCACTTTTTCTGTGTTAACATAGCCTCACCTAAATACTTGGGGAGCTGGGAGAGTTCTGGAAAGTTATGCAAACCCTTGACCACGTCTCAGGTTTGCATATTTGTCTTGAATTCTCCCAACCCTCCTTGTGTTTGATGAGGCTATGTAAACAATACCAAATAGTACAAGGATAATTAATTTAAACCATGCTTACATGTATAGGTTGAAGGTTAGTTGTTCTTTAGTCAGATAGATTTCAAATTTAGTAGATTTTAAGTTAGTAGATTAAATTTTTCAAACGGTTTTTTTTTCTTTCTTTCTTTTTTTTTTTCAGTTTTGAGAGGGGTTTCTTAAAAAGACTAACATGCACACCACCCCCACTCAGTTCCTAACCCTATCCTACCCTGCCCATAAACCCTAACCCCATCCCCCCTCCCCCACCCCTGATCTTTTCTATTTTGTACTCATGTACATTTGAACAGGTGACCTCGGACTTTGTACATGTAGTTCACCTCCGTCTCCACCAGGCCCCATAAGCATTTCTTGCAAATTTGCTCAAAGAGCAGTTTTCAGTGGAGTATCGTATGAGCCAAACCAAAGCAATTAATTAAGACCAGTCATAAAAAACTGGATTATTGGATAATGCAATTCAAGAGTTTTCTTTGGCTTAGCCACCATGGGTTATGAGCCATTATACCATGCTCTACAAATATGGAAAGTGTACGCAGGATTTTGGGGGTGGTTTTTATTTTGGCCCGCCTTTTTAATAAAGCAATTATTCTACTTGCGCTTGTTGGATATGAGATCATTGTAGCCAACTCATATCCAATGCGTGCTCGTGGAATAATTGTTAATTAGACTACTCAGCCAGTATTCAGCCAATCTTAACAACAATCATGATAGCATCAGACGACAGTCCCTAAAAGCAATATGATGTGGATCAAAATGAATGTACTGTATAATGCCAGTAAAATTTTTGTTCACGGAGTTTTGTCAGCACACATGATAGATTAAACTAAGAAATCAAGTAACATTTTAATTCTAAATGGTTATACACCATGATGCAGCTTCCTAAAAATAATGTATTTCTTTATTCTTGATACTTAAAGGTGTGATAGAGAAGATTTTGACTGACAAAAACTCCCACGTAAGTCTATAGTTTTGTTGCATTGTTTATATCTAGTTTGTTAAGAGAGATGGGAGACAAGCAATAGAAGTGTGATACCATGACCAGAACTTTGGAATTTGGTTTAGAAAAGCCAGATAGCTACATGTCTGATCAATGCAGTCCTGTGTTTGACAAGCCTTGCATGTATGCATGAGAGAGAAGGAATCCATTGTTTTGTCTTGCAGAAGACTAAGTTCAAGGTGAAGTTTGAGAAAGGGACAAGGGGTCTGCTGTCATCTAATCACATCTCCCTGGAATCAAACCCTAACCCTGCTGTGCTTAATGTTGGAAGTCGTGTTGTAGGTAGGTTTGGAATGTATATCTGTGCATACTGCCGTGCTGTTTGTGCTTTCAAACATTGCATTAGCCAGCTAGATATACACATACATGTGTAACAGGTTTCATTAAGGGCCGTTGCCTGGCTGTGAGGATAATTTTGCACACCTGGTTTGACCATCAAGGGGAGAGTTTTTCTTAATCACAAGTTCCATTCAAAAAAGTTTTGCCCACCTGTGGAAATCAGTTATCCTCCTGTTGAAATGCTAATGAAACCACTGATATAATGAATGAACATCAATGGAGGATTAATAAATACTGTTCTAAGGAGAAACTTATGGGAGGCAAAGCAAGACAGGGCAACTAGTGTTATCACTAATGTGGCTAATGTTTTGCTGCCTGTGACTTACAGGTACACAATTTTCTAACTAAAGATTTTTTTTTTGAGGAAGTGAATAAAACAAATTCATTCGGCTGTTACATGTATGTGTTATTGTCAGACCATATGAGGTCAAGACAATGATCAAAATAAGCGGCATACTACAATGTACACTACTACAGAACATGCAAAACATCCAAACAAATTCCAGGTATCTGTAAACTATCAATTGAAGGTGATCAAGAAAGTGATCATGGTGTTACATCAAGGACCAAGTGGCATGGATTGAATCAATACTTGTCTAGGTGGCTTTCTGTGAACAAAAATGAAAAGCAAACTTACATGTGCAGTTAAATGCACAGTACAGAATTACTGACATTTAAACAGTGCAGTTGGGTGATTAATCCCTTGCTTTCTTCTTGGAGTGTCATGTAGTGAGAATTACATGTATGCCAATTTTGTTAAACATGGGCATTAAAAGTGTAGTTTAGAATAACCACTGAGTTATCACGGGTTCTTGTTTGTAAATGAACTATTGAGTTGGATTTGTGATTTGTGTCGTTTGTGCTTTTATCAATCTAAATACACAAGTTTTAAAAATGAATTACATGACTGTACAGTGTATGTTTGTACAGTCTTAAGGAAAAAGAACTGCTCTACCAACATCAAAGCAAAAGACCTTTGTCTTGTCAAATGAATATTGAATACAGTTGCAGTACATGTATGGAGTTTTATATAATAAGTCCAATTACTATAATCACATTTTGATTGGTTCTTTCTTATCAGGCACATAGGTGATGTCAGTAACATTGCTCGTTGTTCTTCATTATATAACACAAATGGATTCCATGTTACCATGTGTCTGTTGAACAGTATTAGATCACAGAAGACATCAAAATGTGGTAAGAACATCAGTGACAAACTCAGCTATCCCCTTGTGTGCCACTCTTTTGTTCATCCCACATTTCGACGTCATCTGTGGTCTATTACTGAACAGACACATGGCAACCTGAAATCTATTTCTTAACTAGACAGTACATATTTAGTGTATTGCAGTATGAAACATTATGTACATGTATATTCCTTAGCACTAAGGACAGAAATTTGTGGGTTACAGTAAGTGGATCTATCTGAATATTAACATTCAGGGCTATCATTGTGTTTTGAGTCACCTGTAGCCTTATTCTCCACGCCTGTAGCAAACTTGTTATGTTGTGGGTGAATTCGTTCAACTTCAAGGGAAAATCAAGCATACTAAGCCGTAACAGGTGTTATGGGTTAGGGCTCTTAATGACAGTCCTGCTATTAAATAAACTTGTAACTTGTAACAAGTGCTATAGTCAACACAACAAGCTGCGACCATTTTGGTCACCATGGCAATTGAGAAAAAATAAATTGGTAACTAAATTTTCCAAACAGGTCAC